TCTTTTCATTCTTCTTTTCATTCTTCTTCTTTTTTTCATTCTTCTTCTTCTTCTTTTCATTCTTCTTCTTCTTCTTTTCATTCTTCTTTTCATTCTTCTTCTTTTCATTCTTCTTCTTCTTCTTTTCATTCTTCTTTTCATTCTTCTTCTTCTTCTTTTCATTCTTCTTCTTCTTCTTTTCATTCTTCTTCTTCTTTTCATTCTTCTTCTTCTTCTTTTCATTCTTCTTTTCATTCTTCTCATTCTTCTTTTAATTCTTCTTTTCATTCTTCTTTTAATTCTTCTTTTCATTCTTCTTTTAATTCTTCTTTTCATTCTTCTTTTAATTCTTCTTTTCATTCTTCTTCTCATTCTTCTTTTCATTCTTCTTCTTCTTCTTTTCATTCTTCTTCTTCTTCTTTTCATTCTTCTTTTCCTTCTTCTTCTTCTTCTTCTTCTTCGTCGTGCCCCGTGACTGCCCAAATGAGTGAAGTGTGCGGTGATTCTAAGATCGACGGCACTCATCTGCATGTCATACTGACTGACAGTATTATTTCTCTTCCCCAGCAGACTCCAAGGGCATTTAAATTAAAGGTACAGTGTTCTGCACTAATATAAAGGCTCTTTGAAGCCTAGAAACCCTTTAAATAAGTTAAATTCGCGGCGAATAAATTCGCATTGAATCGAATTTCTCCCGCAAATTCGGCGAATCGGCCGAATCGAATTTTTGAATAATTCGCTCATCTCTAATGATAATAGCAATATTTCCCTCCTCCACACCATTGTCTCCTATAGCAAAACATCAGTGACTAGGAATAGAATGATTTACAGTAAGAGCCTATCCAGCACTAAGTCGGAAGGGGTCAGATGTGGAGTAGCCAGACATCCTCCCCAAACTTTGTCACACTTAGAAGAACTGCCCCTGTGTTGATATGTACGAGGTCTCCCTGTTCTCTGTTACACTGTACACAGATGGGGTCTGGGCATAGGCCTAGGGCATGAAGCTTGATGCACCCTTAGAAGAATATACAGTTGGGACAGTTGTGATATATTCATGGAGCAAAGATGAACATATTCTCAGGCTGCCTTCCATGAGGCCTCCTGAAATTTTACCCTCATCCCTCTCTAGTCTCTTTAGTGCTGAACTAGGGAACTTCTCTAAGTAATCTGCTAGAACCATGGCATTACATCTTGAGATGAAGCCTTTTGTGGATTGTTACTGCTGCATCACATTAAATACAGGGATTGGTGACATAACTGAAGAATGTTGGGTAGAGAATAGCATGTCACAATTAAAATATAATAAAAATGCATACTTGATGGGACTCCAAACCTGTACTGCAATTGGGAAAATGGAAGTAGGGTACCATTTTCAAATTATTATCTAAGGTGTGTGACACCCAGCAATTGCCACTTAGCAGCGAGCTGTGCTTTAATCAATTCAGGACAGGAGTAGTTGGGGCAGTATTTAGTGTATCCTGAGCCATGTTGCAGTTGTTTCATCTTTTTTATTATTATTATTATTATTATTATACAGGACATATATAGCGCCGACAGTTTGCTCAGCGCTTTACATTATGGAGGGAGACAGTACAGTAAAAATACAGTTCAATACAAGAGGGATTAGAGGGCCCTGCTCCTTGGAGCTTACAATCTAGGAGAGAGGGAATAGGGGTACAAGAGGTAATTAGCTGTGGGGGATGGAGTGGTAGGAAGAGTAGAGGATTCCTGTATTAGCTGGGGTCGGGGTAGGCTTCTCTGAAGAGATGGGTTTTCAGAGTACACCTAAAAGTGAGCAGAGTAGGCGATAGCCTGATAGATTAGGGTAGGGAGTTCCAGAGTATAGGTGAAGCCCTTGTGAAATCCTGGAGACGAGCATGGGAGGAGGAGACAAGGGAGCTAGAGAGTAGGAGGTCTTGCAAGGAGCGGAGAGTATGGTTTGGGTGGTATTTAGAGACAAGGTCGGTGATGCAATTAGGGGCAGTGTTATGATCGGCTTTATACATCAGTGTTAGTGTTTTGAATTTTATCCGTTAGGCAATTGGAAGCCAGTGGAGGGATTGGCAGAGAGGGGTGGAGGATACAGAACGGTTAGTAAGGTGAATGAGTCTGGCAGCAGCATTCATGATGGACTGGAGTGGGGATAGCCTGCGATGAGGTAGGCCAGTGAGGAGGGAGTTACAGTAGTCAAGCCGTGATATAATAAGGGAATGAGTTGCTTAGTGGTTTCTGAGGTTAGGAGCGGTCGTATCTTGGAGATGTTGCGGAGGTGAAGTCCACATGAGTTTGTCAGCGATTGGACCTGGGGCTGAAAGGACAGATTGGAGTCTAGGATTACACCTAGTACCCTGGCATGAGGGGTGGGACTGATGATAGTGTTGTTGATCCTGATGGAGAAGTAGGGGGGGGGGGGGGGCATGGGCTGTGGGGAATACTACAAGCTCAGTTTTGGAAAGGTTGAATTTGAGGAAGTGAGAGTGACATCCAGTCCGATATGTCACTTAGTATGCTGGTGATGCGATTGGAGACTGATGGGGTGAGGTGAGGGATAGAGAGATAGATTTGTGTGTCGTCGGCATAGAGATGGTACTTGAAGCCGTGGGAGTTTATCAATTGCATTATCAATCAAGGGAGGAGGTGTAGATGGAGATTAGGAGGGGTCTGAGGACAGAACCTTGAGGGACCCCAACAGAGAGAGGAAGTGAAGAGGAGGTGGCAGCGTTATAGGTAACACTGAAGGAGCGCTGCGATAGATAGGAGAGCCAGGAGAGAGCGGAGTCTCTGAGGCCAAGAGAGTGCAGTTTGTTGAGGAGGAGGGGGTGGTCAAACGTGTCAAAAGCCGCAGAGAGGTCAAGTAATAGGAGTATATTATAGTGGCCATTGGTTTTGGCGGTTAGTAGGTCATTGGTGAGTTTGAGTAGGGCAGTTTTGTTTGAGTGTAGGGGGCGGAAGCCGCACTGTAAATGGTCGAGAAGGTTGTTGTCTTTGAGATGGGAGCTCAGGCATTTTGCCCATATCTTATGTAAAAGTTGGATATTGTTTAGTAGGTTTAGAGAAAAGTTGTGCTTCTAGGCCTTCTGTGAAGGAGTTGGCCCCGCTAAAATGAAACATTTCATACAAAGTAGAATCCCTTACCACCCCTTCTCTCCCAAGTTCCACTGCCAAGCCTCCCACTATCCCAGAGTGTTACCAGAAAGATAAATGTGAAAAATGTCCTGTATGTCCCTGCTCTTGAAAATAATCTTTTGTCAGTAAAGAAGCTCACAAAACAAGACAATTTTGTAACTTTCCAAGGTGACAGTTGTGCCATCACAAAAGGGGATATATTACTTGCAAAGACTAAAATTACAAATGAACTGTATTAACCGCATGCGGCATGTACATATACGGTGGCAGGGCGGCACTCACAGACTCACGTGCGTTTTGTAAACAAATAGGGGGCGCGCGCAAGGCGCGCTGCTGCCCTATTTGTCCTGTGGATCACCGCCGCAGATGTCAGTTGCCGGGTCACAGCCACTCGTTAGCGGCTATGTCCCGGCGATCGGCAGTAAACGGTGACAGAGAGCACAGCTGCAGTAGCTGTGCTGTCTGTCACCTCTCTGTCAGCTCGAGGATGAGCTGATCGAGAAAGAATAGTTTCACTTTCTCAATCAGCCTTGTCCCGCCCAGTACACACCCCCGCCCCCTAGTAAAACACTCCCCTCACTCCTATAACCCTTCCCTGCTAAATAAAGTTAACCCCTTCCTCCCCAGTGCCATTAGTACAGTGTCAGTTTTTTTTTCTTTGCACTGATCACTGTATTAGTGTTTTTGGGGATGTCAGTGACCCCAAGTCAGTACCCCCCAATGTCAGAATGTCCGCCGCAGTCCTGCCATAAGTCGCTGCCATAATTCGCTGATCACCGCCATTATTAGTATAAAAAAAAACCTAAAAATCCCAGTATCTTTCCCGCCATTTGTAAACGCTATAACTTTCACGTAAACCAATTAATTTACAGGTATTGGGGTTTTTTTTAGCAAAGACATGTCGCAGAATGCATTTTGGCAGAAATTTATGACTAAATTTGATTTTTGCATTTTTTTTTTACTGGACATGTTTTATAGCAAAAAGTCCAAAATATTGTTTTTTTTCTCAAAATTGTCTTTTTTTTTATAGCTCAAAAAATAAAAACCGCACAGGCGATCAAATACCACCGAAAGAAAGCTCAATTTGTGGGGAAAAAAAAGTATGTAAATTTCATTTATGTACTATATTGCATGACCGTGCAATTGTCCGTTAAACTAGCGCAGCGCTGTATAGCAAAAAAATGGCGTAAATTGCAGTATCTATACCATAGTTTGTAGACGCTGTAACTTCCACACAAAGCAATCAATATACACTTATTGGGATTTTTTTTACCAAAAACATGTAGCAGAATACATTTTGGCCTAAATTTATAACCAACTTTGAGTTTACTTTATATTTTTTATAGCTGCAAATAAAAAATATTGTTTTTCTTTTAAAAATTTTTGGCGTTTTTTTGTTTATAGCGTGAAAAATAAAAAGCGCACAGGTGATCAAATTACACCGAAAGAAAGCTCTATTTGTGTGAAAAAAAGGACGTAAATTTCGTTTGGGTGCAGCATTGCATGACCGCGCAATTATCAGTTGAATTAGTGCAGCGCCAAGTAGCAAAAAGAGGCCTGGTCATTAAGGGGGGTAAATCCTCAGGAGCTCAAGTGGTTAACAGAACTGCAATGCATACTACCAAGGAGATAAAACATTCAAACTGCATTCACATGAGGCACAGCCGATTTGGTCATATAATAAAGAAATGACCGTATTTTTCTTTCCATAAGATGCACTTTTTTCCCCCAAAAAAGGGGAGGAAAATGTCAGTGTGTCTTATGGAGCGAATATGGAGCGCCCATTCCAGTATTCCCGCCGCCGTTGCCATGTCTTCTCTGCAGCAGAACCTTACCTGTTCCTTGGTTCAGCGCTGTACAGTCTTCCTGCGCCAGCATCTTTAGTGTGGGCACCTGGCTATTACAGTGGGGTGCCCGCTGCTCATGAGCGAGAAGCGCTGCGCTTTGTGAATAGTCGGGCATCTTCTGGGACCTGTCATATGTCCATTCACAAAGTGCAGCGCTTCTCGCGCATGCACAGTAGGCACCCGGCTGTCACAGTCGGGTGCCCACACTAAAGGGAGGACAACTCCACGGAAGTGGGAGCGGGTACCTCTCAAATTCAGATGACCGCTCCCCCTCCCTCCCCAAAGGTCCTCAGTCTCTTGGTCATCCTCTGTATTGTCTGCAGTCTCTGGTCATCTCCTGTACTGTCCGCAGTCTCTGGTCATCTCCTGTACTATGTCCGCAGTCTCTGGTCATCTCCTGTACTGTCTGCAGTCTCTGGTCATCTCCTGTACTATGTCCGCAGTCTCTGGTCATCTCCTGTAGTATGTCCGCAGTCTCTGGTCATCTCCTGTACTGTCCGCAGTCTCTGGTCATCTCCTGTACTATGTCCGCAGTCTCTGGTCATCTCCTGTACTATGTCCGCAGTCTCTGGTCATCTCCTGTACTATGTCCGCAGTCTCTGGTCATCTCCTGTACTATGTATGCAGTCCATTGGTTCAGAATACTTTTTTTCTCATTTTCCTCCTCTAAAACCTAGGTGCATCCAGGGACGGACTGACCATTTGGAAACTGCCCAAGGGCCTGGGGTCAGTAGGGGGCCCCATGAGATGCCCCTGGAACCTTTTTCATAGGCTTTTTTGAGTTTGGGCAAGGACACAGGGGCCCCATGATCCCCTATTGCCCATGGGCCCCATGAGTTGTAGTCCGCCCCTGGGTGCATCTTATAGTGCATCAGAAAATACGGTAACTGAGAAGGACTATGGAAGTGAAATAAATATTAGTCCATGTGATCAAACAATGAAATGCACCAGCTATAGAAAGGGAAAAATGACAATAAAAGCCTTTCCAAAGCAGAGTAACAGTAGAGCTAAATAAAACCCTCTGAATTTAATTCATTCAGATCTTTGCGGAAAAATTAACTCCAGAAAAGAAGAGGTATTTTATCACTTTTATTTACAAAATATATGCACTGTATCTGTTACACAGCAAAAGTGAAGTACCAGAGAAACTTGAACATTATTTGGCTGAAGTAAGCAACAAATTTGTCAAAATGCTGTGAGTATTGTGCACAGACAATGGAACTGAATATACAAATGATAACACACAGGTGATTCTCAGAAAGCATGGCATATTTCAAACTACTGTACCAAACAACCTAGATCAAAATGAGACGCAGAAAGAATGAATGGTACTCTATGTGAGAGTGGAAGAACCATGCTATTTGATGCAGATATGGCAACCAAATACGGGGGGAGGCAACTATGACCACATGCTGTCTTCAATCAACTACCAGGAAAATCATTTGAGATAACTCCATATGAACTTTGGAATGGAAAGGCCTCAAATTTAAACTATCTAAATATTTTTGGAAGCAAAGCCTACTGTATGTGCACATCCCAAAACGTACAAAATGGGATGCTCTCACAAAGGAAGGTGTATTTGTGGGGTACAGTGACTCTCAAGAGGGATACCGAATTCTACACCAAGAAACAAACAAGGTAACCCTCAGTAGAAGTGTAATTGTCGATGAAACATCAACTTCAACATTTTATGAACTAACACAAACGCTTCAAACTAAGGGAATTTACACATCAGTGTCACATGAAGATAAGCAACAAAGTGACATATACATTAACACAGACAATGAAAATACTGTAACAGAAGTAACCAGATCACAAGAGGCTTCAATCAGGAAATCTACCAGAAGCAATAAAGGCATCTCAGTCAAACGTCTGTCCTTTGTTACTTGCATAGCATTAAAACCAGAGCCAGATTCATAGTATGAGATGCAAAGGATTCCAACCCACAGAAAAAAAATGTCAGATGCTTTGACAACAAACAAGAGATCCCTTTGCTCAAATCCCAACAGCTAGTGCATGCATTTATCCATCAGGTGCTAAAGGGGTGTAACCACATATTAACACTAGAAATTCTGAAGGACCCTCTGCAGGCTGGTATATACCCTTTCAAGCAGACTATGCAATAAATAGGGATATTTAGTTCACACATATTGCAATACATGCTTAAGCTGGCCAACCGCGTCAAAGTAATCCCTCTTTGACAAAACTGCTTACAACAGATTTATAGAACTGAGATCCGAAATAGAACTAATACTGTATAAGGAGTAGCTGTTGAGCAGGGGTGTTGGAACACAGTGTTCACATATTTTGTGCAACAACTACGTCAGTATTCAGTAGAGAGATATTTTTCAACCAGTAGATAGCAGTGTTCATAAGTTTGTAGCTACATCTATGGTATTCTCTATGCCATGTCTCAAAAATAAAGGTTCCTGTTTTCCTTTTGCAGTGAAGCAGAAAAGCACATGTGGGCTGTGCACTGGCTGTTCAGTGGGGCTATATACAGCTTTTCTAACAATTACTGTTAAGAAAAAAAAAGGTAAAAATAAAGACAAAGGAGGCTGATAAAGGAAGCTAATAAAACCCCAACATCTGAAGATTGGTAAGCTGCAATGTATTACATTTAGTTATTGGGTTTAGATACGCTTTAAATAAATATAAAGTAGGAAGAGATAGAAGAAACGAGGGGGGCGGCTGGGATTTGATTATAACTGGTGATATATGACAGTTGAAGAAATACAAGTCAAAATAAAGTGTATTGCCATTTAGATGTGTGATTTAGAATGGCAGTTGTCTAAACCTGGTTTTGAAATTGTAAAGAGCAGTTGATCTTCGATGAAGAAGGAGGGGTAGGATTGGGGTCTCTGTTGCAAGAATTTCTATTGAAAGGAACATGCTGACAGGAGGACAGAGCAGAGCAAGTAGAGGGATTTGCACTTTCACTGCCCAGCTGACCTAGCATTATTGCATGACTGCAGTAGAGGTAAGGCTGGGTGACCAAGCTGTACTGTCTAGCAGGGCTTACTTTAGGACTTGGCGGACAACACATCTTATGGAAGCATCCCCATATGTATTCTAGTTATGTTCTTTCTTTTACTGCAGTCTTTAAAGGAAAATGAATACTAGTTTTTGTATAAAGGATAAGGAATAAGTTGCAATACTAATGTTTTGCTCTAGGAGGCTGCCTCAGTCTGTGCAACTGGTCTCCGGAAGCGTCCTCTTCAAGGTGCTCCTGTCTGTGGTTGCACACTTACCTCCTCAAATACAATGCATAGGAAAGCCCCAGAGCCTGCCAGAATGAGGAGTATGTCTATTACAGCTTCTTCTCTACAGTTAATGAGCATTTTGTTCTTGCAGTACTGGTGGGAGGGGGGGACTGAAAAGTTTGTTTTTTTCCATCCCAGAAGTGGGCTTTATTCTAGCCTAACCATAACCAAAGTAGTATCAAACCCTCAGCATGTTTTAGCTTAACACATTGAGCACAATAAAAAAAACATTCCCCAGTAAATTTTTTGTTAAAATTCTTACCCCAGCATTCACAGTTTACAACTTGGCTCCTGCCCTCTCAGTACTGCTTCCCAGAACTTATGGCCTTTACAGGAAAAGGTTAAAGTGCAGTCTCCAGCAAGTCTGTTTAGAGTTTAGAGAAGAGAGAGAAAGAAGGAGGGAGCAGCAGGGAGTACCTTGCCATTGTAGGCTATGGAGCTGTGTGATTCTAATGATGCACACAGTGTATGGAGATGCAAATCTAGTTCCTGCATGCAAGTGTAGCCGGGTGCCCCCTGGATAAAGGAGTGCTCAGGCTTTACCCTCCCACTCCCCACCAATGTGAGCAGAGCAGTGCAGCTGTGGACTGTGTGAGAGTCTGACCGTTCCATCCGCTGCTCGCTCCCCTTCCTTCTCCTGGCAGTAGTGATGTCTGTAAGGGGAAGGAGGACTTGGCAATGCAGCTGTTCATCTCCCCCTCTCACCTGGATGATGTCAGCTTGAAAAGCCACTTTAACATGTAGTCACCAAGGAGCACAGTACAAAGGCAAGTGTGAATGGGAGCTTGGACTTCAACTCCCAGAGGTCCCTGTACTCAGAAGAAGAGAACCAGTGAGTTTTACCAGGCAATTGATCTCGAGGTTTGGGTAGAACAGTGTGGGGAGCCAGAGTGCAGGCATGTTTCTGTGGGTGTGTCTGTACCAGGGAGATCACCATGGAGGTCTGGTGTGTGGGATAGAGGCTAAGGATTAAGCTACCGACAGACTTTTGTGCTGTGGATTGAGGTACAGACCCACTGCTCTTACCCATCCATGCCCACATTTAATGCGACTGAGCCTAAGAGAGATGAAAGACTGAGCTAGAGGGGTTTGCTGTATCTTGGGACCAGAGCTGAGGAAACCCACTGCCATGTGTGCCTACAGCTAGTGAGGAGATGATCGTGAGGACTAAGCTTTTTGGGACAACTGACCACCAAGAGTTTTAGACTGGATGCGTTGCATACCAGGAGTGGTGAACAGAACAACCAAGCATAATACCTAACTGCCCATAGTTAATGCCGATAGAGACTACTCCCTATCTAGCAGCCCATCAGCCATCCATTGTGTACAGTTTTTAAAGGGAAAGCATCATGTGCATCACCTTACAGATGGGCCCCAACAAAAGCCAAGTTAGTACTGCTAAATTGATGCTAGGTATTTCACAGCCAACTCCAGGGGTATCCCTTGTCAGGAACGCATACACCCACCCGCTATTAGGGCTGTATGCCTAAAGTTCACTCAAGGACATTTCCTTGGGTTAATTAATGTTGTTATATTGCCCACTGTTTATACCAGCTGACATTTGGTTTAACTTTATTACAGTTAATTAATTGTCATAATACAGGCATACCTCGGTTTACAAATTTAATTTGTTCTGTGGGACTTTTTGTTTAGCGAAAAATTCATAAGCCGAAACAACGTTTCCCATAGGAATGCTGTGAAAACCAATGAATCCGTTCCTGAGATCAGAGAAAAGTAAACATTACTAAAATTAGTAATTTTATCAAGTTATTTTATCAAGTCATGCGGTATTTTATTAGTAACAACCATGTGTTAATGTTTCAGCTGTCAGCGGGATTCCCCACTGACAGCTGAATGTAAAAGAAATGCCGACAATTAAAAAAATAAATAACTAAACAGCATGGGGTCCCCCCTCCCATCCTTACCAAACCCTTCGGGTCTGGTATGGATTTTTAGGGGTACTCCCACGCCAACTTTTTTAAAAAAATGGCGTGGCCCCCCCTCCAAATTCATTTCAGACCCTTATACGAGCCAGTCAGGAAAGGGGGGGCGAGAGAGCGAACTCCTGAACCATACCAGGCCACATGCCCTCAACATGTGGGGTGCTTTGGGGTGGGGGGCTCCCCCACTAAAGCGCTTGGTCCCCATGTTGATGGGGACAAGGGCTTCTTCGCCACAACCTTGGCTGGTGGTTGTGGGGGTCTGCGGGCAGGGGGCTTATCATAATCTGGAAGCCCGCTTTAACAAGGGGCCCCCCAGATCCCGGCCCCCCATGTGAATGAGTATGGGGTACATGGTCCCAATACTCATTCACAAAAGACAAAAAATGTAGCGTGAAAAAAGACAGGACATACGGTCTTTGACAATTCATT